GCTCCCACGTCTCGTTCTCCAGCAAAGAGTCATACTCCTCCTTCACACTCTGCTTCCATTTTTCAGCATCCGGCCCGCTCAATGCTTCAGCTAGCGTCTTGGGCTCAGGAACGGCTGCCCAGTAGCAGTGTGCTATCTCATCCTCATCACACTGCTCAGCCACACTCCCAGCCCTTACCACCTTTGGCTTGCCAAAGCTCGGATAGGTCAGCCGGTTAGGAGGGCGCACATCCCTCCTAGGACGGTCAACCGGACGTGCGGCACCTTGTGGAGCACCTTGCTGCTACTGCTGCTGCGGCTGCTGCTGCTCCTCCACCTCAGGTTCTCCCCCATCCTCAGTCACCCCAGAAATCTCCTCCTCTGAGACAGTGACCTGCACTTGTCTCGAAGGCCGCTGCACCTCATCGGCCTCAATGATCAGCGGTGTAGTAGGAAGCTTCTGCTGCTGCTGCTTCCACTCCTTGTAGTATAAGGACTCGAGGAACTTCACATCCCTTGACACAGTCAGCTGTTGGCTGGTCAAGTCCCAAATCAGCCAGCCCTTGTGATCCTTAGCGAGCCCCACGTGCACACCCCATCTCCCAGAAGCTTCCAGTTTTCCCCTCTTCTCCTTAGGCACATGAAACACCACCATGCACCCAAAGGCTCTCAGCATGTTGACTGCTGGTGCACTCCCATACCACTTGGTGTAGGAAACCCACTGCTTGTCCCCCACAGTTGCCAGCACCCTGTTCTTCACAAGGGCGACCTGCCGCAGTGCAGTCACCCAAAACGGATCCGGCAACCCTGCACGCCCAAGGAGAGTGCGAGCACCTTCCTGCAGGGTCCGGTTGAACCGCTCAGCCACGCCATTCTGCTGAGGGTTGTAGGGCACTGTAAGCTGATGCTGGATCCCCTTCTTCTTCAGCACCGCCTCAAAATCAGTGCCAATGAATTCTCCTCCATTGTCGGTGCGGATCACCTTCACCTTCTGTCCGCTCTCCCTTTGTGCTCTCGGCATCCACTCCTTAAGAACAGCCGCTGCCACCTCCCCCTTAGTCTTGAGAGGGTACACCCACACCGCACGCGTGTGGTCGTCCACAATTGTCAAGAAGTAGCGGCTGCCCGAGAGAGAAAGGGCCCTCGTGGGGCCCACCACATCCATGTGCACTAGTGCAAGTGGTGCCTTTGCTGGTCCTGTGCTGCTGCTGAAGGGAAACTTCGTGAATTTGGTCTCAAGGCAGGTAGGGCAGCTCCCAATCTCCTTTGCTCCCCCCTTCACCTCCAGCCCCTTCAAGCACCCATCCTTTACCAACTTCTGCAGCATAGGAATGTTCACATGGCACAGCCTCTCATGCCACGTCTCCCAATCAGCCTCACCACTCCCAGATGAAGCCTTTGCCCATGCAGCTGTCGCATCCACACCAGCAAGCACCTCACCGTGTGGTTGCTGTGATTGCTGCACCTTCTTGACTGCATCTAGGGCCCCTGCAGTTGGTGCAGTCTCCTCTCCTCCCGCAGTTGCTTTAGCCGCTGCCGCTGCCTTTGCCGTTGCTGGTGGTTTCCCCTTCCAAGGGATGATGGGCAGCTGCCACAAGTCCTTGATGCAGCTGCTCTTCTCCTCCAAATTCCACAGCAGCAACTTCCCAAGCTTTGCACGACAGCTGGTTGGGCCGAATGTAACTTTGGCCTTGCTTTTCTGCAGCCGGCGCACAGAGAGGAGGTTAGCGGATAAACCTTCAACCAACAGCACATTTCCCAGCCCCACAAGCCCCCCATTAGCTCCCATAACCTTGGCATTCCCAACACCAATCACAGGGAGCAAGGCACCTGAAGCGGCAGCCACAAACTTTATCTTCCCAGGGGGCTTCACCTCATCAAGCAAATCTGCCCGTGGAGTCATGTGACTCGTGCAACCTGAATCGATCACCCAGTGAGTGAGGGGGTGCATCACAACCTTCCCAACTGAACCCACATCACCCCCACTCCCTTGCACGTCCTCAACCATGAGGAACATACCAGGGTCGGCTTTACCTTGTGCACCATCACCTTGTGCACCTGAACCTTGCACAGCACCACCTCGTGCACGTTCACCACTTGGCGGCTTCATGCCTGGAGGCGCCCATCCTTCAGGCCGACTGAAACACTTGAACCATGGGTGTCCAGCCTTCTTGCAGTACCAGCACGCACCCTCCATTCGGATACTCCCCCTTCCACCAGAGCTCCCATGCCCCTCATTGTAGTCACCTCGGCCTCTCCCTCTGCCAAAGCCTCTCCCACAGCCTCGGCCTCTCCCTCCCCCTCTCCCTCTGCTGCCTCCTGCAGCTCCATACCCCTCAGCAGTTTTGTTGGCAGCACCACCTCCAGTGTGGCGCCTGCGGAAGTCCTCCTGCAGGATCTGCTGCCGTAGCCACTCAGGCGTCCATTTGTCCTGCTGAACGTTGAGGGTGGGGATGAGGTTGTCCCACGAGTTGTCGAGCACCGAGATGATCTTGGTGCACTGTTGCATCTGCGACACTTCGCTGCCCGCCGCTGCCATCCTCGCATAGGTGTCCTTGATCTTGTCAAGGACCGGCTTCACATCATCTCCCGGCCGCATGGAGAGGGCAGCCAACTCCTTCTCCAATACGATCACCATCGGCAGCGTGTTGGGTTGAACCACGTCGCGTAGCAGCTTCCACGCCTTCGGTCCCGAGTCATCGAGCTCCACCAAATCCTTGATGTGCTGGAACATGTCGTTGTTGACCGACTGTAGAATCAAGTCGTACAGCACCGCGCTCCGCTCAATCCACCGATCGCGGGCATCTCCTTCCTCGGGCATCTTCTCCTCTCCCATAGCCAATTTCAGCAGCTTGTAGCGCTTGAAGGCGCTCCTCATCGGCCCACTCCATTCTTCATAGTTGGAGCCATCCAATGCCTCAATCTTGGATGGTGGCGGCTCACTCTTCTTCTCAACTCCTTCTCCACTCCCTTGACTCATCTTCTCTGCTCCCAATCACAATTTCAGCTCCCCCTTTGCTGTCCACACCGAAGTCCCACAATATTTTCACAAGTGTCGGCGCCAACGAAATTTCGGCAGAGTTTCCCCTTAGCGGAAGTCACATCCAACCTCAAGAACTCCACTTAGGCACGCCCACAGGCCATGGTGGGTCTAAGAGGGTCTTTGCACTTCAGTAGACTCCCCACAAGATCCTTAATCAGCTCTGATACCACTTGTTAGAGACTAAGGACGGAGTCTATAAAGATTAGGTGCCGAAATAACACAAAAATCGTGGGTCTCAATTTCTGGGCAGAAACCGCGACTTCACAAGAAACGTCGTCGGCTAAACTTGCACCGTTGGAATTGTCTCAAACTCGAGTATGTTGTAGCCTGTAACTAGGGCTATCGTTTCCAATTTGAATCATATCAAATGATGGAGTAAATCTCGATTTATGATTTTCGGCGCACTAGGGGGTATGCTGCCACATGCTTAACTCAATCACAATGGTTCTCACAAGTTCCACAAAGTTACACACAAGAGAGTTAGGGTAGCACTAAACCAGGTAGGAGGGAAGAGGAGGACGAGAGGGAAGGTCCCAAGAGATTCCCCAACCAAGGAAACCCCATGCCACACAATTCCCTTCCCCATAGGCAACCCCACTTTCACATTTGTCACTTTCCCAACTCATGCCATCCACCTCAACCCACTTGGCCACACTTGCCAACCTGGTTTGGCTTCACCCAACCACATGGCAGCATTCTACAGTGATGGGTTCGAATTCCCAACCCCCAAAAGTCTGTACCCCATATTGAGTCAACCCCACAACTTCCCATAGTCGCCACAACCGAAGTACAGAAAGCATACGAACTCCAACGTTCGTAACTTTCTTGATATTGCTCCGATCGCGACGATTCTTGGCTCGTCGGAAAGCTCTTGAGTAGAGCTGTCACTTCAGATATCTGCCCAAGCCAAATATCATCCACACACACTCAGGAAATCCAAACCGCGCAAAACACAAATTCTTGCACACGCTCACACCACGCTTGCAACACACGAACACTTGATGGAGGCAGACAGACGTGAATGCATATGGTTGCATCACAACACGGGTATCCCGGTCGACCGGGCAACTACGCCCGGTCTACCAGCACAGTCTGTAGCCGGCCATCAATGCCCGGCGTCCCCAGTCCGGCGTCCAGGCGCCTAGGACGCCATCCGAACCCCCAGGTCGGCGTCCAGACGCCCAGGACGCCGTGCAGACCTCCAGAGCGGCGTTCGGCCTCCCAGGACGCCGACCAGACGCCCAGGTCGGCGTCAGGGCCCCCAGGACGCCGTGCAGACGCCCAAGGCGGCGTCCTAGGCTCCTAGGACGCCGTGCAGACGCCTAGGTCGGCGTCTGGCCTTCCAAGACGCTGTACAGGCGCCCACGACGCCGACTAGGCGACCGGATAGTCATGCCGACGCCCAGGTCGGCGTACAGCTTCCAAGGACGCCGTCCAAGCGTCCAGGACGCCCACCAGGCGTCCAGGACGGCGTCCTCCTACTCGGCGCCCTCCAGCTAGGCGCCCTCCAGCTCGGCGCCCTTGCTCTGGCCCCCGTGCCCACTGCTGCAGGTCGGCTGTAACCCCCGCACATCCGACCACGAGGTCGGCTCCGCCCAAGCGAGGACGGGGCCAAACAACACTCCCGTTGACAGTAACCTCCAATGCCAGGTCGAATTCTCTCTCCACTATGAACTTTGTCACCTCCACACGGGCGCCTGTTAGTGGTTGAAAGGGAGGGGGGCAACTAGAGCACATTTCACCGCACATTTTTGGCAGCCTCAAGAAGGACAAGGACATCACACACTCTCTCCCTCTCTCTCTCTCCTCTCTCATCCCAACCCTGGCGCTGTCTCTGAACGAACCACTCACTTGTTTGTCTTCCTATCACTGGAAGCACCAAACAGCGCCACACTCCAAGGCGCCTTCTGGGCAGCCCCCACCCGAGGGAATCACACACTCCTTCACATACTCCCTTGCATTCTCTCCCAACAGCCACTCACTTGTTAGTTTTGTCGTAGCTGGGAGCACCGAACAAAGCTACACTCCATGGGGCCTTCCTCGCCGCCCCCACGAAAGGCATGCCGCTGCTGTCCTTGCCACTGCACGCCCCCACCGCCCGCACCACCTCCACCTGCATCTCTGTTAGCTGCTGCAGACTCAGCAGATCCTCGTTTGAGATCTTTGCTGTCGCTGCCCGCTGCTTGCCGATCAGCACCAGGCTGGTAGCCGTGCTGGCGGCAGTCCTGCTAGTGCTGGTGCTGGTGCTGCTGGGAGTGGTACCTGCTCTAGATATACCTGCCCCTCCTGCAGATGCACCTGCACCATTACCACTTGCACAAGCAGCGCCACCACCAGCAGCAGCAGCAGCAACAGAGGAGGAAGAGGAGGAGGCAGAGACGGCGAGTCTCTTGCCGGCAGCAGCAAGAGGGCCGATCAATGCTGCCATGTCTGCTGCTGCGTTTTGCCTCGCCTCCATGCCCTTCTCAAAGAGCAGCTAAGGAGAGCGGGACGGCAGGGATTTGAGAAGGAGAACAGAATGACACCCTATCAGAAGTAGCAAGGGCATTGCCAGGTCTGCTGCTACATTCTGCCTGGCTTCTGTGCCCCTTTCAAAGAGCAACTTAGGAGGGTGACGGTGCAAGTAGACACACAAGCATCAAAAGTGGGTCATATGGAGCACCATCTGTAACCTAAGGCAACTCAATTCAATCCCACCTGTGCCTGCTGCAAGTGCGTTGGTGTTGTGCGAAGATCGGGCGAGTAGAGGAAGAGCTGGATGCTGCACAGCCCTGCTGCCAGGTAGTCCCTGGCTAGTAGCTGATGGAGAGATGGAGAGCAGGGGCGGGTGGAGGGGTTGAAGGAGGAGAGGGAAGAGGAAGGAAGGTAAACTGTGGGATCAGAAAGAGGAAGAGCTGAATGCTGCACAGCCCTGCTGCCACGTAGTCTTTGGCTAGCAGTCTTTGTCCTTGGCTAGAAGCTGACAAAGAGAGGGAAAGTTAAGAGTGGCGATTGGTTAATCAGCCTAAAGGAAGAAAAGAGGCATTCTGCATGTCTGCTACAAGTATGAATGGGGCTAGGAAGTGAAAGTTTTTTCTAGGACTCAAAGAATGTGCAGATGCGAGAGAGAGCCGCCAAACACTTGACATTGCCACTCGCCCATGCTGCTAATGCTGGCGATGCTGCTGCTGCTGCAGCGATAGACGCACCACCATTTGCTACTCCTGCCACACTTCCTCCTAGGGCTTCCGCCACCACTCTTTCCAGCACCTCGACAGCCCCATACGACACACACAACGCACACAGATGTGCCACCAAGCACGTTGCACCTAGCTCCCAGCTGGGCCTGCACTGGCCTTATAAGTTCATATGGGAGGAAACAGTGGGCGCCCAGAGAGAGCAGCACGTGCAGGTGCGGCTGCACCTGCAGCAGCTCCACCGCTAGCCGTGCAACAAACGGGTCGGCTTCACGCACCATGCGAGCCACTGCCTTGGGACTCAAGACACGTGGTACCTCTTCCTTAGGGCACGAAACATGATGTAAAACGTCTGTAGAGGCATGCAGCTGCTAATGCTGGCTCTTCAGACGCTACTGCTGAGGGTGAGGTTGGTAATGGCAAGATTTTGGCCGCTGCTGCTGCTGCTGCAAGGAAGAGTAATGAGCAGCTAAGAAAAAGGCAAGATGTGCGTGGTAGATGAGGTGAGCACAATACACGCCAGCATGATGCAGCAGCTGCTGCGACAACCAGGAGCAGTCGGCGAGAGGCCTGTTCGGCAGCAGGGCATGGGCGGACTTGTGAGGCAGCTGTGTGTGTGAATAACTCCATGGGGTAGCAAGGCACGGGAGGACTGGAGGGGCCAGAGAGCCCAGAGGAGACACAGGCGGGTGGCAGGGCAGGAGGGGCCTATGAGGTCCCAGGCAATGAGCGTGGTGAGGGGACGGAGAGGAGGGCACAGGCAAAGGATCTGACGGAAGGGAGTGGGGGATGGAAGGAGGGAGGGAAGAGAGGTATGGGCATGATCAGGCGAAGGAGGTGGGAGGGGCCTATGAGGTCCCAGGCAATTAGTGTGGTAAGGGGAGAGGAGGGCATACACAGAGGTGCTGCAGGAAGGGAGGGGAGGGAGGGGGTGGGAAGGAGGGAGGAGAAGAAGATCAATGGACACGAGCAAGCAGACATCTGGAGGATTGGGAGGGGCCTATGAGGTCCTATCATGTGCATGCTCACATGATTTGCTTTGTTGAACCGCCCCGCATGCACAGCAGCCAGAGCTCCCTCCAGCACACTCCCCACCACCACCCGCCTCTCCACTCTTCTCTCTACTCCCGCATGCTGATCCGGATAAGTCCAAAAGAAGCCCTTTGAACGTAACACTCACATGATAAGCCTTGAAATACTGCCCCGCATGGACAGCACCGAAGGCTCCCTCCAGCACACTCCCCACCACCACCCGCCTCTCCACCCTCGCATGCTCCACCAACTCCCACACACACCGCTCCTCCACACTCTCTCTCCACACACCTTGTCCTCTCACACCCACGCTCCCCTCACACTCCGCACCATCTCCCCTCTCCCCCATCGCCTGCCCTCCTTTATCCCCAGGCTCTCCCTTGCCCTTGCTCCCGCTCTCCACTCCAGCCACTTCATCCGTTTCCACGTGAATCGCAGCAGCTTCAAGTTTGCAGTCCACTTTAATAGCTTCTAGGTTGTCCTTTGATTGATTCCTTCTTGCTGCATGGTTGTTGCTCGCATCTTGCTGGTGTGCCAGCAGCAAGTGAAGGGCCTCCAAGGGAGGGGCGATGGGGGTGTGGCGGGAAGATCGCTGAGACTTGCTCTGAATGTGATCGACCCATACTACCTTGAGACAGAGGGGGGCAACAACAGACTGGAGGAGAACAGAAGAGAAGAGGGGGAAACACGAGATGATAAGGGACAAGGGATATGGATGGAACAACAGAATAAGCCACACTCACTTATGGCATGGGAAAACGCTGAGTTATCCCCATGCCACCATACCCCCATCTTAACACACCCCCATGTCATTACACACCCCATGCCATCACACCCCACCCCATTGCCATGCCATCCATACCTGAAATAGCCTGATGAGGCAGGCCGAACCCAAAGCTAGGAGCTCCTAGATGGCAATTCTTGTGTCTTCCTCCTTCAATGCCGTCCAAACAGGAGTGTTAGACGGCGCTTGTTGGGGCACCTGGGGGCGCAGTGCGAGGACCAACTCGGGGAGGGCGGACCTGCAGGAAGGGATTCATAAAAAGAAACAGAGTAAGAACGAGTTGACTGAAAAGTCACCTGGTGGGGGCATCTAGAGGGGCCAGTGAAAAGCACCAACTAGTACAGGGCAGACCAGCAGGTTAGGAAAACGGAGGACATGGGGTGTAAGGGTGACTTTATATGCATTGTAGAACTATTGAATTTCACATAAAGGTGTGGAAACACTTGAGAAGTATGTGAAAGAACGAGGAAAATGTGTGCACTAGGAAACAGGTGGGTACAAGTAGGAAAACCTAAAGGTGTTGTGTGAGAGTACGACGGCTTATGCCAGCTATGCTTGCCTGCCTTACTTTATTATGCTATTTCTAGCATAGTATAATTATATGCATGCATGAATTGCTTGATTTCCTAGGCTAGGTGCTTTCCTATATTTTATTATAGTTATAGCACCGAGCTAGGTTGCGTGCACCGAATTCTGGCTTTTCGGTTGCCACCGAATTGCCTTCTACAAAATTCGGTAAGGATCTGTTCGGGACGCTTCGCGACCCGCAAAACCTTCGCGTAACACCGGGTTACGGGGCCTTGTGGCGAGCCTATATATAGCCTCATGTTGTACCCAGGTGATCATTCAATTCAATTCAATTACAATTCTCTTTTCTAAGCTCGATCCTAGATCCCACATGTTGTACCCCATATTGTCTACCCCACTACAGGCTACACAAACTATAGCATATAAGTTTGACCCACCCCCATAGGCAAAGTGGGGGAGAACAAGAGGTCACAAGACCAGTCAAGCAAAGCACAATAAGCTCAGGGTGGATCACAATGTCACCACACATTCCGAGCACAAGTTCAAGGCCACAAGGCCAGTTCGCATGCAAGATCATATATAAAGGCAAACAAGCAAGTGCAGGTATAGATAGATCAGAGTACAAGAAAGGTCAAGAAGTGAGCAAGTGAGGCCAAGTAGACACAAGACCTAGCATCGAACAGAAGCGCTGATGATCATAAGGCGGAAGTGCCTTGGTAAAGATATCAGCAGTGTTGGCCTGAGAGGCCACGTAAGCAGGGCGCAGCTGACTACGCTGCTGCAGCTCACGAGCAAGGAAGTAGCGAAGAGCAATGTGTCAAACATTATATATGTTGTGCTTGTTTAAGCTACAGTGGGTTAGCCTATAGGGGGTACACAATTCTAGTGTTAGGTACTTGTACTGATTTCACTGTTAGTTCAATCATTCGTGTTCGTTCATTTCAACATGGTATAGAGCAGGTCCTTCGCTAGGACCGTTTTCTTTAGGGCCCACCACTACCTACCTACCTACCTACCTACCTAACTGCGCCCTAGGGCGCCTCGTTCTCGACGGCCCCCTAAGGCCCCGCGACCCGCGACCCGCCCCTTAGCGACCTGCGCGCCGCCCCTTAAGGCCCCGTCGGCCCACGCGCTCGCCCCTTACGGCCCCGCGCTCGCCCCTTAGCGACCCCGTCGGCCCCGCGATCGCCCCTAACGGCCCAGTCGGCCCCGCGCTCACCTCCCTAGAGGCCCCCGTTGGCACCGCACTCGCCCCTAGAGGCCCCTTACGGCCCCGAGCTCGCCCCTAGAGGCCCCGAACGGCCTCGCAATTGCCCCTAGAGGCCCTTCACGGCCCCGCGCTCGCCCTTAGAGGCCCCGAACGCCCCCCACGCTCGCCCCTAGCGGCCCCTTACGGCCCCACGCTTGCCCCTACAGGCCCTGAACGGCCCCGCGCTTGCACTTAACGGCCCCTTACGGCCCCGCGCTCGCCCCTAGAGGCCCCGAACGGCCCGTGACCGCCACAGCCCCTCCACGACCGAGCCGAGCCGCGCGACCCGAACCGAGCCGCCCAGTCCGAGCCGAGCCGCGCGACCCGAACCGAACCGCGCCGCCCTACCCGAGCCGCGCCGCCCTACCTGAACTGAACCGCGCCGCGCGTACTGTCCGAGCCGCCCTACCTATCTCACCCTCCTACTCCTACTGCTGCTCCTACTGCTCCTATGGCTAGCCCACCTGTGCTAGCTTTCGATGCTGAGGGCCGCCCAGTGAAGTTTGACACCTGGCTAGATGACCTGCACCTCTATCTACAGCTCAATGCCAAGGACGACATCTCACTGTACGACCACGCCCTAGGCCATGCCACTGCCCCTACTGCTACTGCTGATAGCACTGCTCGCTCACAGTGGCAGACTCGTTACGCCCACGCTCGCTTTGCTATTTGCAATTCCCTGCCGATAGATGAGCGCGAGCACTTTGGGCAGCACAAGACTGCACAGGCACTGTACACTGCTGTCGTTGCCCGCTACTCCTCACCGGCCTCTGCCGCACTAGGCCGTCTCTTTCTTCCCTACCTGTTCTCCGACTTAGCCTCTTTCCACACAGTCGCTGACCTCACTACGCACCTCCGCACTAGTGAGGCTCGCTTCCGCGCCGCTATGCCTGATGAGTTCCTTGCCAAGAACCCACCCCCGCTCTGGCTCACTCTCTACCACCTAGTCACCCGCCTCCCTGACACTCTACGCTCAGTCAGGGACCACTTCCTAGCTCGCTGCCCGACTGAGCTCACCATTGCCCTCCTCGAGAAGGAACTCTTTGTAGCTGAGGCTAGCATAGTCGCTGTAGGTGCCTCTCGTGGCGACCCCCGTACCCCGTTCTTTGAGGGGTGTTCTCCTTCCCCCCTTCTTCCCTCTTTCGCCTCTGCTGCTGCTGTTGACCTCCTTGGTGCTGAGAAGGTCGGGACTGCGTCTGTTTCGAGCGGGCGCCGCAGCGGCAAGGGCAAAGGGGGCAAGGGCGGTGGCGGTGACGGCGGGGGAGGCGGTGGTGGGGGCGGTGGCGGCGGTGGGGGTGGTGGCGCGACTGGAGGGGCTAGTGGCAGCGGTGGGGGTGGTGGCGGCAGCGGCGGGGGAGGTGGCAGGGGCGGAGGCGGTGGTGGAGGTGGCGGTGGATGCGGCGGCGGCAGGGTTTGGGGTGGTCGAGGAGGTGGCGGCGGCGGTGGTGGTCGTGGAGGCGCTGGCGGTGGCCAGGGCCAGCAGCACACTCCGTCGCCCTAGGAAGTCCGTGAGTGGTACTCTCAGCACGGGGGGGGGGGGGGGGGGGGGGGGGGGGGTGGCTTTAGCTGCACGTACGTCATTCGCACTGGTGACCGCAGTGGTCAGCCGTGTGGGGGACCGCACACCACACAGCGCTGCTTCGCTCGTCTCAACGACGCTTGGCGTGTTCAGTTCCCTCTGGCCACTGAGCTGCCCCGCTGGGTTGATCTCCTGAAGAAGGGGATTGATATCTATGCTCTAGACTTTGATGCTATTCTCACTGCTATGTATGTGATGTCTACTAGTGGAGAGGGTGCTGAGTACCTGTGTGTGCCGCCCGACCCGGGCATTAGGACTAGTGGGTCTGCCGCTCCAGGTACTCGCGTGTCTGCTACCCCTGGTGCTGGTGAGGAAGCTGCTCTAGATGCTTGTGCGTCTGCCCCCCCTGGTACTGAGTCGAGTGCAGCACTGCACACCTTCACACTGGACTCAGGTGCTTCTCGCTGCTTCTTTCGTGACCGCACTGCACTTGAGCCGCTTGCTCGGCCAGTTGCTGTCTCCCTCGCTGACCCCTCTGGGGGTCCGGTCATTGCGACCTCCTCCACTGTCCTCCCCTGTCCTGCAGTCCCGTCGGGCACACTGTCAGGTCTCCACCTCCCCTCGTTCTCTACGAACCTAGTGGCAGGATGTGTGCTCCAGGACGGGGGTGTTCACCAGTTCACCCCTACCTACGAGCGTGTGACACACAGCACGTGTGCTCGTACGGGCCGTCACTTGGCTACCTTCACTCGGCAGCCGGGATCGGACCTGTACACAGTGACCACTGAGTCCCCTCAGGTCGCTGCGTCTGCGTCTGCGTCCGCGTCAGGTCAGCTCTCGGCCCCCTGCTCGTGTCGCTCTCTGGCACACGAGATTGTCCTCTGGCACCACCGCCTTGGCCACCCGTCTGTGCAGCGGCTTCGTGCCATGCACTCCCGATACCTTGTCTCTGGCCTTCCCAGGGTCCTTCCTCCCCTCCCTCCCTCCCCTGCTCCTCCCTGTCTTCCCTGTGTTGAGGGGCGGCAGCGCGCCGCTCCTCACTCCTCCTCGTTTCCCCCGACGACTGCTCCCTTGCAAACGCTCCACATGGACGTGTGGGGCCCAGCCCGCGTCCGTGGTAAGGGTCAGGAGAGGTACTTCCTGATAGTTGTTGACGACTACTCGCGCTACACCTCGGTCTTCCCCTTGCGCACCAAGGGTGAGGTCCCTGATGTCTTGATCCCTTGGATCCGCAGAGCCCGTCTCCAGCTCAGCGAGCGTTTCCACTCGGACTTTCCTGTCCTGCGCTTGCACTCTGGCAGAGGTGGTGAGTTCTCCTCCGACCTCTTGGCAGCCTACTGTGCTGAGCACGGCATTGAGCAGTCATTCACGCTTCCGGCCTCTCCACAGCAGAATGGGATTGCGGAGCGCCGCATTGGCCTGGTCATGGAGGTCGCCCGTACCTCCTTGATCCATGCGGCTGCCCCCCACTTTCTGTGGCCGTTTGCGGTCCGGTACGCTGCGCATCAGCTCAACCTCTGGCCCCGTGTCTCCTTGCCGGAGACCTCGCCCACACTGGTGTGGACGGGGGAGGTTGGCGATGCGTCGCGTTTCCGGGTCTGGGGATCTCGAGCTTTTGTCCGCGATACGTCTGCGGACAAGCTCTCCTCCCGTGCTGTTCCCTGCGTCTTCCTCGGCTTTGTCCCGGACGCGCCTGGTTGGCAGTTTTACCACGCCACCTCGCGCCGAGTCTTGCCCTCTCAGGACGTCACTTTTGACGAGTCCGTCCCCTACTACCGCCTCTTCCCCTACCGCACTGCCCCGCTCCCCCCCCCGCCTCTCTTCCTCGCGCCAGGTGCTGCTGTTGCAGACCCCCTCCCCCCTCAGGGTGCCGCTCCCTCAGGTGTGTCTCAGGTAGACCCGGTTGAGCCTGTTGAGGTAGCTGTCGACTCTCGTCCTGCTGCGGGTGCGGAGCCTAGGGGTGCGGAGCCTGGGGGTGCGGAGCATGGGGGTGCTGAGCCTGGGGGTGCGGAG